TCATTATTGCATAATATACTGGTTTTACTGAAGTACAGTCAAATCACCATTCTGTTGTGTGACTAGAGCCAAGCCTGTCTGGAATCTGTACTTTGGGCCATAAATTATACCGTGCCAGGAAAAAAAAAATCTGCATTTTTTTCTTCTGATTTTCATCAGTTTAATGGAACAGAATTTCCTTTTGAAATTTCTTTCAATCGTATAAATTCTTATGAATTTATGAATTTATATAATGACAAGGTAGCCAAGGGATATATGTGAGTGCCCTGTCTTCCACTGTATAATTCCTCCAGCAGTCTCTAACCTCCCAGGCTTCTTCCAATCATAGAACTGCGAGGGCTGTTGACCCCATCAAATCCAGCCCCTTGCTCAGGGCAGAAATCCAAATTAAAGCTCCCCTGGCAGATGGCTGTCTAGCCTCAGCTTTAACACATGAAGAGGAGCCACCATCCTCCAGATAATTTGTTCTACAATCCAAGATATCTTATTATTAGACCGAAGAGTTTCCTAATATTCAACTGGAATTGTCTTCCTCTGTTTTTTCTGTGACCTGTACTCTGGAAGGACAGGGAACAGGTCCCAACCTTCTTCTGGGTGGCATCCTTTCAGATATTTGAAGACTTATATTGTACCCTATCATATCCTTTCCAAAGGAGAGACATTCCAAGGAGATTTCTGCCATGGGGCTTTTCTAGATGGAAAATCATGGGTAGCCAGAGACACTTCAGAGTGGTAGAAAGATGTGAAACAAGAGAACAAGACAAGCAGTGGCAAAAATTAAAATAAAATAAAAAATGCCACCAAAGGAAGTTCTGAAGATGCTCTCAAGTACCCTGAAAACATTTTAGAAAATAAAGCCATTTTTATCAAGGAAGTGTCTTCTGAGATACTACAAGCTATTTTGATTGATTGCTTATTTAGTCTGGAAAACCATCATCAATTTTCACTATAAATTATTTATCCAGACATCTACAGCACCTTGACCTCCCATTTGTATTAAAACCAGAGTAAAAACCTCACAATGGGACTTTTGAAGGGAGCCAAATATGTCATAGGGCGAAGGAAACAGCAACACCAAAAATAAATTTTAAGGCATCATGAGATTGCAAGGGAAAAAAAAAGCTCTTTTTTGCAGAGTGCAACATTTTTGGAAAATTGGAGAATAGATCTTAGCCCAATATTAGTCTAAATTCTGACAATGATGCTGTTTAGTCAGAGTGTGAAGGTGGAGTGATATGATTGAAGAATGCCCAAATCTTGTGTAAGAGTTACCAAAATGAATAGCAGGTGTGGTGCTCTGTGATTACCACTATGGCAGGAAAAGGCCATGAACTGCAATTGTAGGCTTCTGACAGACTCCCAAGCTGAGCATTTTTCTTAGAAAATTTATGAATCAGTCTCACAGTGGGTGTTGTTTTATTCTGCACAGGACACTTCTGTACATACAGACCTTCTCCAGAAGAACTCCTCTCATTCAAACAATGTGTCATTGTTTGCTCAGTTATATGAAGAGAGACTATGTGATAGAGAGGAAACCTATCAATTGATAGGTCTTCTTGAGCTCTTGTTCCACATGTTAAGCTTGCAGTTCCACATTAGGAGTAACTGGAAACTATTACAATCAGAATCACGTCACCCTCTCCCAGAAAGGAAGAGCATTTCATTCAGAGAGATATCGGCTCAGATTTTTATTTTTTTGGCTCTTTAATGCACATGTGCATGATCTACTTCCTATACTAGGTGCATAGATTTGAATCTATTAATAGCACAATCATCCATATAAGTAATTTCCCTATGAACAAAGCCAACATGTCTAAAATACTTATGCATTAGAATGTATTTTATTTCCAGCAGTATCTGTTTAACATGAAGTTGCTTGAATTGAAAGTCTCTCTTTTCCTCTTTCCTTCTTTCTCTCACACACCCACACCCACACACAATCTCTCACCAAAGTTTACAAATCCCAGGACTTTATATTTAAAGATTTTGAAATCTTCTTTCAAGGTTACTTTGCCTTGCTTATGAAATTTTTATCTTGTAGAGCTAAAATAAATTTGCCAATCTTAATTCGGCATGAGTGTGCCTTCCATCTGTTTGGAAATTTCTTGACCATTATAGCACCCTCTGCACAGATCGTTCAGGACCAAATTCAGAGATACAAGGCAGTAAAAAGCAAGCAACAATCATCAAAACAACTTGCTGATTGTTAGTCTGGCCTCCTACGCTTCAGAGCCCAAGAAGAGTCAAGTTGCCCTTTTTCTCCATTGTTCTGTTGTTGTTGTGTATCTGAACACACATATACACACAAAGAAAGAAAGGTCATGAAAAGGAAACAAACACCACTTGCATATATGGAAGTGTGTCAAAAGCCAGAGATATATTTCCACTGGGGCTGGACCAAGCTTTCAAAAAACTGAAAATTTCCATGAATCATGGGATGATTCAAAGCAAAGAGAGCCCCTTATCTTTGCTTTTTCAGTAAGGCTATGCCAGAATTTATTTCTTCCCCTAAGAAATAAGCTCCTGTTTTTCTACTTCATCCCTACAGCTGAAGAATTTCTTTTGAATTTCTTTTAAGGTTGTTTTTGAACTTTATTGTAGGAGGTGTTGAAGAACGCTACCACCTGTTAATAGTATTGTTTTTGTTCCAGATCTTTGCTCTTATGACTCCTTGGGTGTCCAGTCTTCCTAATGTGTAAAGAGAGAGAGAGAGAATGAGAGAGAGAGAGAGAGAGAGAGAGAGAGAGAGAGAGAGAGAGTTCCTCTTACTATGTTCCTTGACATTCAGTTGAATCATGGGAAGTTAGGAAGGCTGCAGAGATTATAGTTTCACAAAAAACAAGACCAGTACCATCTTCAACGCATGCAGTGACATTGATAGACATGCAATGGCATCTTCCAAATCCTGCTGTTCCATATTTGTATTTCAATGTCTGATGCAAATACACAAGTAGTCACAGCATTTTTGTGATGAAATCACCAGACATATGTCAAGATTTGTCCTCTTCTCCTTGGAACCCCCATGGATAAGGACACGCCCATCCTTGCTATTGTTCTGGAAAGCCACTAAGACCTGGATCTTCCCAAGAGTCTTTGGGGATGGTCTGGAGAATTGAATGGCTCCTGAAGATGTGGCGCCAGATGTAGATGGAAGATTGTGAGCTTAGAGAGTTGTTTTTCTCACTGTTTAACAGTATTATATTTTTAACTCAAATACTATAACAGCTTGTGTAAGCTACTCAAAGATGTTACATTTTTTTAAAAATTGGAGTGGCATTAAAGCTCTAGCAAATTAAATTGTCTATGTTTGCACAGTTGATTCATGAACACATCAAATGTCTTGAATTCACCCAGCATGCTAAGCCACCAACCCCCACCCCACCCCACCCCAAATTTTAAAACTAAGCAAGTGCAGCATACAGTACAGAAGAAGCTGGTAGGTTGTAACTGTCCAGATTAAGCATGTTGGGTGTACCCAAACCCTACATCTACAGGTAGCCACTGAATTATAAATTGCAAGTAGGCAAATCTGTGCACTAAATAAAGAGACTCCCCATAACTATTTCAAATTTCTGTTGAATAACACTTGACTGCATGACTTCCCTCATCATTCTTGCTATCTCTTTCAATTTCATAACATTTCAAACTTGTCTCCCCTGTCAACACCTGCTTCTTGCCCATCAACAGTTATGATTGAAATAATATACATTGAGGAGAACACTGATTATTTGCTTGGTTTTTTTTTTCAGGAACTGCCAAAGAGGCAATGTTGGAAGGAAGCAAAATGTCTAGGTAGGTGTCAGTGCAGTGCTTTCTTGGAAAGTCAACCACACCATAAACAGGAGTTGGAAAACGTGGCTTTGATTCTAATTGGTTGGAATTTCCTCCAAGATTCCATTACTCTGGTATCTTAGGGGTGGGGGTAAGAAAGACACTAAAATCTCACACTTAAATACAGTCACCGTAAAAGGCAAAATTCCTGAAAGGCCAGCAGTTATCAGAGTGTGAAGCAGGGGACTGTGGAAACATAACCTTCCTTGTTTAGTCTCAGCAAATGTGTAGCTAGAAAACACCACTATTCTGTTTTGGAACTTGTTGAAAGCAAATAAGAATGTGGGAAAAGACTGCAGCCTTCTGATGGCCTGGGATTTCTTCCCATGGTAGCAACTCTCCACCCCATTTCCTGTTCAGGCCACACTGTTGCTCAAATCAGGCAGACTTTTTCCAGGGCCCAGGCACTGAGGAATCTCAGGAAAAAAATTAATTCCTATTGATCTTGGGGTTTTTTAATCTAAACTATTAGTAAAGGGCAACCAAATATGTCTTCAGCAGTGTAGCACATTCTGAGTTGATAGAAGAATATACAGCACCTCCTAAATTTTGAAAAAAATCCTAATCTTTTGATCTAGCTTTGGACCCAGGGGACTCCTTTGTTAATTGAAGAAAAAGGGAATTTTAACTATTTCTCTCTCCCTCCTGCAACTATCTGCTTCCCACCCACCCACTCACTCCCAAATCAGCTCTCAAGAGTCCTTCCAGATGAGAGGTGGTGCATTGAACTGTGGGGGGAAGTCAGTGAAAAATTCTCCCTGACACTTCCATTAGTGGGGATAACATTTTTATCTTACTTTGTTTTTTAAAAACCCTTGCCTTATGCTTTCCCACAGTTTAAGTACTGTTAAGACCCTTTTTAAAGTCAATCACAAAAGTCAAGATTGTTCAATATTTCAAGAATGAACTACCATTAAAAGATTAGAAGCATTAATAACATTGATGAATAACAGTTAACGAAAGTGTATGAGTGTATGTGTGCACTGCATTCACTGTTTTTCTTAACATAACCAGAATTGATCTTTCATAACCTAGAATCACCTCCTAATTGTAACAGTATTGTTACATTACATTCTATTGCATATAGGAGAATAATTACAGTAATTATGCCAGGGTATTGCTGGTGTAATAAACCATTGCTCAGAAGAAAAAATAAAAATACTCTGGACTCTATTTCCTTAAAATTTATCTCATCTTCTGGATTTCATACAACAATGAGGATATCCTTTCCATTCACCTTTACCCCTAAAGCTGTAGAGGTCTTCACACATCCACCAAAGTAATGCATTTTCAAAAAATGGGAGGGAAACAAAGTTGTGAGTCTGAAGCACAAGAGTGGAAAATAGGCAAAATTCTCCTTGGAGAGGAATAAAAGGCTTTGAGGAAAATATTCACACCGGGCAGGAAAGCCCTGAATTCTTTGCATGACATGGTAGTGTGTCACTGTCTGAGATCAAGATTTCTGCTAGGGAAAGGGCCTAGTTGGCCCAGTTGATTAGCATACAGATTCTTTTGTTGGCTGGTCCTTGTAAGTAGCAGTTTCAGGGAAATAAAACACAAAGCTGCCCTTATAGTCGAGGCCACAAAAGTAATAGTTTAGGAGCCCTTAGAGTTAATGCCAGTGGTTTGCAGAAAATCTCATCTGTGTTCTGTTCTATCAGTTGTCATGCAATCTGAAAGAAAGAGAGATGTTTTCAGTAAAAATCTAATGGGTGGAATGTGGGGTTCTTATACTTGTTTAGTTACAAATGAGGCAAATGTCATTATCTTTCACTGTACGGTTATCTCAGTGGGGTCTACCCATCCCCTTAGATCCGGCAGGAGAGGCATGCTGTGGGTCCTGTCTGCGAGAGAATGCCCTCTGGCAGGACCCAAGAGGAGGGCCTTTTCTGCCATGGCACCTGTCCTTTGGAACATCATTCCCCCAAGATCAGACTTGCCCCAACCCTGCTGGCCATTTGCAAGGCATTAAAAACGTGGCATCAAGACTGGGGCCCTGATAATGTGGGTGAGCCCGCTTCTTGGTTCTATTGATCGTGAGATTGTGAAATGAAAGGGAAAATTCCTACATAGCATTGAAATTTGGAACTTAAACTTTACTTACAGCCAAAGACCAGCACAGAACATTACAATATAAGAAGTTAAAAATCATATGATGAAGAGGGGGGAATACACAAAACCAGTCAGGGTTCATTCAAAACTGCCACAGTAGGTACTAAGAAACAAAATAATAAACAGTGAAAGCTATCAGAATATATAACAGGCAGACTAATCCTGAATGGAGAGAAAATGGACAAAATCAAAATAAAATTAAAACCATTATAAAATGACCCCATATAAAATATGTTAAATGCATAAAACAGGAAAATACCAGCGCATAAAAGAAGCGAGTCTAAAAAATCCTAGCCAAAAACAGAGCATACTTGTAAAAAGCAATTAACTTATTCCCCAAAAAAGCCAGCTGGCTGACTGTGGGCCAGTCCCTCGCTCTCAGCCCAACCCACCTCACAGGGTGGTTGTTGTGGGGAAAATGGGAGGAGGAAGGAGTATGAGGTATGTTTGTCACCTTGAGTTATTTATAAAAATAATAAAGGCAGGATAAAAAAAATCTTTAAAAAAAGTTATTAGAAAGGTGCTTAGGAGAAAAAGAAGAAAAACCAATCTTGGGGGGGGGGGA